CCATAGGCGTTGATTTTTCAGCACAACTCAAACACACGCATATATATATTTGTAGGTACATACATACCCTCTAGTGAATTTAGTACAACGTCAGCTTTTATCTTATGGTGGCAGATATTTGCGCACCTGTGACTTTGTGGGGGTTACTTAAAAGTCCCGGGTAACTGCTGTGACAGCTTCCAAAAAGTCGCCGTGACATACTGTGACAAAGGAACAGTCGCAATGATGTTTTTGTTGTAGTAGGATTGCGCCTTCCACAGTTTGATATTAGAATTTCACACCATTAAAAACGAGTGTGAATGACCAAAACAAACGACGAAAATAGTCAGTGATGCCAAATAAGTTCACCACGTAAAAGATGTCTGTTTTGCTACTTTTTTGTCACTGTTTTTGTCACAGTGACGGATGAAAATCACTGTGACTGCAAAGTCACTGTCACAAATTGCATTGTTCCCTAAATGTAACGAGATCGCCCATCTCTAGTATACTCGTATATTTATTCAAGGCTTAAAAATATCCGCGCATATGTATACATAGAAATATTTGCAAAGTAAAACCAAAACTTTTACTTCTAGTCGACAAAAAATTTAAAGTGCAGCTGAGTGAAAGCTCAAATATCTCTCTAAATTTAGCTTTACGCCCAGTTGCCACTTCATTTGATAGTGGGTCCCATATAACGGGCATATCTAATGAAAAAGTTAATCATAATTAGGCGATTTTGTCATAAAATAGTAAAATAATTAAACTTGTCTTATCATATGGCCTCAGATGCCATGCCTCCATAAAAAAATGTTGCAGAAAGAGGCAAAAATTGCTAACTTATCCCTTGGCAAAATTTGTGTCTGAGTTTTTGTAATTTTCAAAATATGTCAAGTTATCAAAATTGCATGGTTGTATAAGTTCATCGAGTTATCTCTGCTTATCGAATTTTACCGTGTTACCAGAGTGTAACGAGTTATCGAAATTTTTCGATAGCTTTCGAAAAATATGATGACATCAAAATTAAACGAGTTATCGAAATGTATAAAGGTAACCAAAGTTTATCAAGCAATCGATTTATAGCGATTTATATAAATTTTTAAGTTAGGGGTATTTATGGAGCCCTTGAAAGGCACAGTTGTCAAAATTCATTGAAAATTATCGAAATTAGTCGAGTTATATAGAAATTTATAGAAATTCTTGCATTATCGATATGTATCAAACTATCGAAATTTATCGACAAAATGGAATGTGTCGGCTCAATTCCAAGTGCTGCCAACGCTCTCTAAAGACCTTCAAAGGCATAAAAAAGTGTAGTCACAGTTTGGATCCTAAGCAGGAGATTTTCCGGTAAGTAATTTTGTACGTTATAAACGAAACGACGTTCTAAGCTCGAAAACGTCTCCAAGGTACTTAAAAACTAGAAAACGATACCTAACTGGCACGCGTATATTGATAAATAATACCATAATATATGTATGTACATATGTACATAAGTAGATTTATTAGCAGATATTAAAAATAAACAACGCTACAATTACAAGTTACGCTATTAAAATTCACTAAGTTGGCAACCAGCTCCAATCAAGTGTGCTTGCATTTAGCCAGTTATGCTACCAAAATAGTCATTACCAAAACCAACCTTATAAGCTTCATTGCCAGCGGCCAAAATTTGTACCGTTATTACAACATAAACCGCCAGAGGTCACACCGGGCGACTTTCCGTTCGCCATAGAGCTTTTGACTTGAAGAGAAAAACAGTGTGTGGCAGCTTTTGTGTTGGTTAATTGGGGGAATAATCGTTATTTTTGTTTTTTGTTGGCTTAAACATTACTAGATTTTTTTTTATAACGTCAGTGTTATTTGTGCACAAACTTCATATACTAAAAAATAATTCGTTAGTTAATGATGTTGTCACAGAAAACTTGCAAAATTGGGTGTTTTATGATAATGATCGATAAGGCAAGCTCACTTGTTGCAAAAATGCTGTCAACTATTGGGCCCAAAAGCAACCTCTTAGAAGCAGTGTATGTAAAACGTAAACTGTGAAATGATCCAACGGATTTGCAAAAGAAATGAATACATGTAGTAGATGCAGTAGAACAGGGCCACAAATAAATTTTAGCACTAGCAGAATTTCAAGCACATCCCCAAGATCTTCGTTTATGATGAAAGAACTAAAAATCAGGATGTTAGGTCAAAACTTATTAAAACTTATTTGGCGCTGTAACAACCTTAGCGGTTTTGGCCGAGTTCAAACGTTTCTCTTCTGCGTCAACTGCCGCCAACTGGAAATGCCAAGTGCTCAGTGCGGGTTCCATCTTCCTCTGCTACCACCAGCGGGTGCCGAGCTGACTACTTTCAGAGCTGGAGCATCGGTGTACATTCGAACGAAATGGTCAAGCCAGCGGAGCCGTTGCACTTTAATTATACCGTGCGACAAAAACCAAAAATTTTTGAAACACCTGAAAAAATCAATATATGTATTCACGAAACATATATAGTATAACTGCGTTTTAAATTTTCTCTCTGACGTTGAGGATATGATTGAATAAAAAAATTATTTAAAAGATTTGGTGCATTGTAGAGTAACATTATGGGTAAAAATTAAAAGGAAAAATTCTGTACAATTGAAAAAAATTTAATTTTTTATGGCACCAGGATAAAAATTGTACACTTCTCTTTATAAGATATCGATAGTTAAAATAAACAAAAATGAAGATAATAGAATCATTACACTATACAGCACTCCTCTGGGTATTGGACAAAACCATTCTTTTTTAAGGGATTGAGTCATAGGTAAAAAAGTAATTTCTCCGTTTTTCGAAGTTAGCCTCCGAAAGTTCGAAATAGGATCTTTAATAAAAAATTAATTTTTATTATTATATGTAATAAGTAAAAACTAAAAACACAGTCGTAGACCACCTTTTGCTCTTATTTAAATGGTTTATAACTTCTTTTTTTGCAAACTTATAGATGCTATAAGGGGGCAAAGGTCGGGTCTTCGAAAATTTAAAAGCCTTATATTTCCAACAATTTTTAACTGATTTTTAAAAAGTTGGTATCGTTGTAAACGCGATTAGACCCCCTTCTTCTCTTCTGGTATGCATATTAGTATACTTTGTATGTAAAAATTTGAGAAAAAAACTTAAAAGAAAAAATACCTTTTTTTATAAAAAAAAAAATATTTTAAACAAACAAATTAGTAACCAATTTTTAAAAAATTGATATCGTTGTTAACGCAATCAAATCTTCTTTCTTCTGTTGTGCGTATTTGTATGATTCGCATATAAAAGTTTTAGAAAAAACACTTAAAAGGAAAAAATACTTTTTTCATAAAAAAAAATTAAGAAAGAAATTACTAACCGATTTTAAAGAATTTAGTATCGTTGTAAAGGCGATTGAATCCCCTTTCTTCCGGTGTGCATAGTTGTATACTGCGTGTATAAAAATATGAGAAAAAACACTTGAAAGCAAAAAAATACCACTTTTTTATAAAGAAAAATATTTTAAACAAGAAAATTACCAACCGATTTTTAAAAAATTGATATCGTTGTAAGGACGATTAAATCCCCGTTGTTCTGATATGCATATTTGTATACTCCGTATATAAAATTTTAAGAAAGAAACACATTTAAAGGAAAAAATACCTTTTTTTATAAAAAAAAAAATATTTTAAACAAAAAAATTACTAAAACTTAAAAAATTGGTACCGTTATAAAGGCGACGTAACCTGCTTTTTTCTTATATGCATATTTGTAAACTGCGTTTATAAAAATTTGAGAAAAACACTTAAAAGGAAAAAATAGCATTTTTTTTTTGTTTAAAATAATTTTTGATAAAAAAAGTTATATTTTCCTTTTAAGTGTTTTTTCTCACGAGGTATACAAATATGCGTATCAGAAAAAAGGGAGTTTAATCGTCTTTACAGCGATACCATTTTTTTTTAAATTGGTTACAATTTTTTTTAAAGTTGGTTAGTAAGTTTTTTTTTAAATATTTCTTGTACAAAAAAGGAATTTTTTCCCTAAATGAGTTTTTTCTCAAATTTTTATTGCGAAGTTTAAAAATATGCATATTACAAGAAAGGGGCTTAAATCAACTTTACAACGATACGAATCTTCCAAAAATCAGTTCAAAATTTTCTAAAATATTAATGGCCTTATTCATAAAAAATAAAGTAGGTTTAAAGAGCTTTATAAATTGACGTTTTCATACATTTTTCAATTTATAAACCTTTTATAATGCTACTTTATTTCTTATGAATAAGTCCATACGTTTTTATTTTTTCGAAGATCTGACCTTTGATCCGTTATAGCACCTGTAGTATAAGTTTTCGCAAAAAAGGTTATATACCGTATAAGTAAGAGAAAAAGGCAGACCACGTCTGTATTTTTACTTTTTTTTGCTTTTTAAATGCAATAATTAAAAATAATTTTTTTCAAAGGGGCTACTTGAACTTCGAAGGCTAACTTCCAAATTTCGGAGGCTAACTTCCTAAAACGGGAACTTACTTTTTTTTACTTATGACTCAATCTCTTAAAAAAAAGTTGGTTTGGTCCAATATCCAGCCGAGTGCTGTATAGTGTTATAGTTCAAAGTGGAACGGTGAACTTAACTGACATCCTAATACTATTTTTCTCAACTTCTGTGGATCTGTTTGAATATTACATTAATAAAAATTTGTATAATATTATTTTAAAAGAATAGTATTTTGATATACATATGTGCCATATGTTCCATATTATTAAATAGCTTCTTCAAATACATACAATTTTTGTAATCACATTTTATTTAATTGCTAATTTACAGCAACGCGATATCCTTTCATATCCTGTGGCGAATTTCACTTAGGCTTGTACCAAGTTCTAGTAGCTAGCAAAAAACGGAAATGAAGTTAACGAACCACTGCAGATGCATTCATTCGATTCATTCATGAAGCATTTCATCAATTTTGCGAGTTGTTGAGATTTTAGTATAAATACCAGATGTCTTTGCTGTCAATGACAACAGTCTTCAAAGCGAGTTTTTATCAAACACTTGTTAGAGCATTTCGCCTCAATCTGCACAAAGAATTCGCGAATAACTTGTTAAAGTCAAGTAAGTCATTGCATATAAGTATTGAGGCAAACAACTTGTGAATTTGAAATCGAATTTGAATAAAATCGGTAACAGGGAAAGGCGGTCAGCGAGAAATTCGCAAATGCTGACGTCAAAGCTGCGGTCAACGCTATTTTTATAAATAAATAAAGTATTTATAAATACTTGTGTGTATATATATATTTAATGTGATTATGTATTTAAGAGCGCACTTACATAAAATTTGTCGGTGAAAAAAAAAACCAGGTGACCGGCCAGTGTTATAAGGCCAGACGATCACGTGTTGAAAATAAATTAACGTGATTTGCAAATTTAAATCAAACAAGTTGTAGGTGATGACGCTAATGTTAAAATCGGTTGAAACAATGCGAGCTGTTTGGTTATGATTTTTTCTTCAAAAATTTCATAATAATTTTTTGGATCTTGCAAACAAAATCAAGTTAAGAAAGTACAAGTAAATATAGAATCGGATTTCCGCACCAAAATTGTACTTACACCCTTTCCTAAGTGTAAGGCCGAGTTTCTACTCCAATTTGTGGTGTGTGTGTCTTGATGTTGCTACCCAAATGGAGGAACCTACATCCTTACGCCACCTTCGAATGGCTAAAAGATTTTATAAGAAGCTTTTTCATAGCAAAAATACACTTGTTGATTTGTCACTGCCTGCCGAAAGGGCGACGGTTATTAGAAAAAACTTTTTTATGATTTAAATATTGCCGGGATCAGGGATCGAAGCGATCGAGGGGAGTGTGGGCGATGCGTCAATCGTAATAAGCCAAGCATATGAGCGTTTCCTTTTCTTCAATGTCCGGTTTGTTATTTCTTAGTCCACTGCCTCTAATGCAATTTTTCAGCGGCCCTTAAAAGTTCCTATAAGAAGAAATCATTTCCAATACACGTTTCCTCTTATAGGCAGGCCAAGCAATCCTGGAGCTTTCACTGGATGAAAGACTGTTCTGTTCTAGCGTTCATTAAGACTTTACGCAATGATTCATTATAAATTAATTTAATTTTATCGATTCGATAACATAAATTCCGATCTGCTTCATTCGCTATCTGCCATCACTTGCACTAAATTTCGAACGTACCTCTACTTTTCTTTATATAAGCAGTCAATCTGTTACGAAATCGCTTCTGCCGGCAACGATTAACTCAACGTACATTCAGATCCCAATAATATCTTGACCAACGCACCATCAAACTAAGTTTAAGTACCAGATTGGTATCATATTTGTGTTTCCAGAAATTAAGAAGCGAACATATGCGCGTAACTTGAGGAACCGTCCAAGAATTCAACCTCTCTGAGATTCAAGCCTCAAAGAAACCAGAACTTCGTTGACCTGTGCATATTAGGCAGTGTCCCACGAGTGGCTTTAGATAGTCACATAAGGTCGGAATGATTTAAAGATGTTGTGAGACATCTTCTGCACCTGGGCCTTTAAGATCAAGGAGTCAACTTTTTAAAAGAGCAGACTAGCTCAATCCTAGCGGGGTTTTCAAGTGAAACTGCTTGACACTTGTCATGCAACAGGAGTGCAGGAGTCTCTAAACAAACTAAGACGAATACAAATAAGACGAAGACTAACACGAAGACCAATACGAGTACAAAGACGAATATGAATACGAATGGCGAAGACGCAGAAGACGACAACGCTGAAGATTGGTGACAAAGAATATATGAATATATGAAGACAAATGCAAAAACGAATATGAAGACACTTCCAAAGACGAATTCGAAGACGACTACTAAGCAAGACATTGCAAAATTCAATATAAAATGAGCTACAATCAGTCATACTCCTTTAAATTGTATTAATCAAGTTCACTCGAAAATCGTGTTGTCATTATTGTGCTGCAATAATGCAGCTACGAAGGAAGCGAAATATTTCGGATATTGCGGCCACTAAAAATCAATAGAAATTTTTGCGTATCGTGGCGTGAACTTATTCGAGGGGACTGGTGGAATAGTCTACCGTAGAAAGTCTAGACGTTTCCGCACTGTGCGAACGCCAAAAGTAATAGAGAAACGAATTCAGGAAGTGAACGGACGCATCATAAAAAATGTGGAATCAGTGCTTGTGAGAACCATAGCAGGGAACTTACAGAAGCGTTGAAGCTAAAACGTAAATGAAAATCGAAAGTCTTCGCCTCCTGTTTACTGACTAGCAAATATTCACCATAGAAGAATTTTTCAATTCACAGAATGACAGGATGCTCTGTAATGTATGTACCCCGCAGCAATTATGGCTCACGCTGGATTAGCCCTCCGATAGTCTATAATTCTACCAGTGCTAGTCCGTCATAATTCCTCTGCCAGTAGATTCAACTGTCATTTTTGACATTGGCGTGTCATTGGAAAAGGATTGGTCCAACAACTTACTGTAAGACAGTGCTATTGTCGATAATTGTTGTTTACTGTCTCACAGTGGACTGGTTGATTTATATTTGGAGACTTTTTTGTTTGAATACAATTAGCTCTGCAGTTAACAGATGCTTTTTCGTAATTAAGAACAAACTAAAAATCTTTGGGTTGTGTCTGATAGCATTCGAAAGGATTGGGTTACGGTTCGGGTTCGGTATTTCAAAATAAAAACGGTTCGGTTCGTTCTTCGGTTTAAAGCATAAAAAATGCGGCGGTTCGGTTCAAAACCGACCTGCTGAGCAGAGAAAAATTTCTCAATTCCTTGGGTGCGTATTGCAGTCGATGGGTGGCCGAAATGACTTTGCCGCTGTTGGCAGTCAAATGCAGCAATTTCGATTAAATATGGTGTTCTCAAATCTTTATTCATTGAGTTATATCTACAATAATTAGATACATAAGCTATTAAAAAAATATTCACTCAAGTACTTTATCATACATTAAACCGATATTTTAAATTTTTTAATCAGAACGATTAATTTAATACGAAGAAATAACTGTGTTAATATGTTGCGCATAATTAAAACTTAAAAACCGTCCGCTGCTCACAAAAATATATAAATATTGTATTTGGCTTGTGCTACCAATCGTTTGACGTTTCCACAATATACATACATATATACATAAATATAAAAAATGCATACAAAAAAACATACAGTCGCATATCAGTGATTCATATGTTTAACATTTCACGGGTCGTTCTACATAGATATATGTACATTAGGGGCGATCGAAAATCTCATTTTTCTCAAATCCGTTGGTAATAGTGAAAATATATTGTATCATGAAGTCAACAACAATAATAATAATAATAAAACTGTGAGACAAATGGTAGGGGTCAGTGATTGGGAAGGGTTCAAACTACCGGGGAAAGTTATATCGGTAAAAAAGAAGTTATACGTGTCCCGGCGTTTCGCTGGGTCACGTCTAGGAATCGAGATATATCGATTTGAAGTTAGTAACTATCATATAGGGGAAATTGTCACCTTTGGTGGTCTTTTTTTTGACATAACTCGAGAACCACTAGTCCGAATTTGCTCAAACAAATTTAAAAAAATTAAAAATTACAATTCCTTTAATCTGTTCATATAACGTTTTTCTATATAATCAACAGTTTTGCCGATAAAAATAAATGTATGAAGAAAAAAAATATTTTTTGCCTAAAATATTAAATTTTTTTATTTTTTAAATTCATAAAAAAAGCAAAACGTTATAACGATTTTTTTATGAATTAAACAAAAAAAATTTAATTTTTAGGCAAAAATAATTTTTTTTTTCTTCATACATTTATTTTTACCGGCAAAACTGTTGAGTATATAGAAAAACGTTATATTAACAGATTAAAGGAATTGTAATTTTTAATTTTTTTTTTAATTTGTTTGAGCAAAATCGGACTAGTGGTTCTCGAGTTATGTCAAAAAAAGACCACCAAAGGTGACAATTTCCCCTATATGATAGTTACTAACTTCAAATCGATATATCTCGATTCCTAGACGTGACCCAGCGAAACGCCGGGCCACGTATAACTTGTTTTTGACCGATATAATATTTCCCGTTGGTTTCATCCCATCCCGATTTTGACTGTCGCATAGTGTAATAGATTGGCGCTTACACATATGTGAGTGTTTGGCCGAGCTTCTCCTCCGATTTGTGGCGTGCGCCTTGATGTTGTCACACAAAGCGGAGGGACCTACGGTTTTGCGCCGACTCCGAACGGCGATTTTATTTTTATGAGGAGCTGTTTTTCATGGCAGAAATACACTCGGAGGTTTGCCATTGCCTGCCGAGGGACGACCGCTGTTAAGAAAAAACCTTTTTTTTTATACATTTTTTGCGATGTTGCTTTGACCAGGGCCTGAACCCAGGCGTTGCGAAGTGGAAGCGGGCACTGCTTACCACTACACCACAGCGGCCGACAGTCAACAACAAGCCTGCAAAACATTAGTCCTTTATTTTTATTTTAAGAGCCCGCGCATCGACCCCCAAGTGACCCACAGCACACGAGTCGAATAAGACAAATTCTTGTTAAAAATTCTGGGTTCAGCAAAAAGGTTTGGTGCATATTTCTAGATAATGAATCCATTAATGAAAAGATAAATTCAAATATCATTTCTCGCAGCCCTCTAGCTAATCGTTAAACTCAAAGTTATTTGTTTTCAATAATGAGTTGACTTATGTTTATGCGTACAATATTAAAATTGCAAACATAGGTAAATGACAAAACATTTTGTTCAGCATTTTTTTATTTTAAAATAATTTGTTTATAATTTGAACGATTTTCATCATATTATTATCATAAATCAGTAACAGTAAGTCTCGCCTTCAATTCGGTATTTATTACGTACCGTTCAAGTAACACTTACCAAAGTTATATCGAAAAACTTAAGTGGGTCCCCATTTTTTTCTAAACCAATTTTTCTTCAATTATATAAATAACATTTTCCTGAAAGAACCGGATTGCAGAAAAGTGTGTCAGGGAGTGACTTTTTTCGTTCAAAGTAATATCGTCCAATTGGGGAGTCCTCAAAAGGATTTCTCAGGATATGTTAAAAACTATTGCATTTACCTACAGTTACTTTTTCATATAATGGAATTAATTAAAATATTTATGTATATCTAAACACTTATTGCACGTCACCTACTTTCACGTATGTACTGGCAAATTTAGAAACAGCGAAAAATGTGCTTCTTCAGTGACTAATGAAACCATTACGCACCAGTTTATAAGACTGCATAAATGGACTTAAAATGGGCGTTTCTCGTCCTAATTGTATTATGTTAATGTATGTAAATAGTTATATGCTTGAAACTACTATTAACTTATCAAACGATTCCTAATCTTTGACAATACATGTTCGACTTCATTCACCACGATCTTGAAAACTGACCAAATCGGCGTGACCAAGTCCATGGTCCTTTTAATATTAATAGACATCCGAAAATATTAAACGTTTGTAATAAATCTCGTCTCACTTTTTACATTTTTCACTTTGTTGCTGAAGTAATGAAAAATTGAAAATTCATAAGGGAAAATTGTCGTTTTTGTAAATTTTATCTCAGTACCTTGAAAACATGTAGACTTATTGAAAAATGATAAATGAACGTAAGGTACTAAATTTAATAAACCTTAATTTCACATATCGTCCTGTTTTTAGCAATTAACGCAATCCATAGATATTACAAGCCAAAGTTTCATTTTCAAAATTCATACACTTTGATTCAATTGCGCGGGCTAAAGATAAGTTTTAAATGTATCCTTCGTGGCCAATAACAACTGGCTTAGACCTAAGACATCATAATATTACTATTACAATACGGTAAAATACCTTTTATTTTCGCCCATACAAAATCGACCCAGCCTAATGTACATACATATGTACGTATATACTACACTTATAAACATATCCGCTTTAGAGCGTTTTATGAGTCGTTTAATCTTAATTTGCCTTAAGCGCCGTAGACAAAAAAAAAACGGAGCGTACGCTCGCAAAATGACTTGCATTCCTTAAGTGAATATGTATGTACATATATGTATTTAAACGAATAGCAAATAAGTTTGTGTTTTGTCATTGCGTACAAATTGATAATGGCCCACAGGCATGCGCAGATGCGCCAAACCGGCTAACAAGCGAGCGCCAAGCGCGCACAGATACCAACAACCACGACGCACAGATAGCCATCTGCCTACTCCTACAAGATTTCATAAATACATATGTACATGTATGTGTTCGTTTACTTGCATGTGCTTTTTGTTCTTGCAAATTTATTGAAGATCACTAAAGAATGAAATAATTATAGAGTTGTAAAAGTACCTACTTATGTACTTATTAATTTTTTTTATTTTTATACATATTTACTCAAGTGACGCGGCGTATCAAGCACATGGCAACTGATATAAACATCTTACACTGATGAGTGGTATGAATGCATGTCATGAATTTAATCGCAACAAGAAGCTGTCAATTGCTGTTGCCGGCATTTTTGCACTTCCTGTTTAATCGCCGGTTTCAGTTTGTGGGCGCTACCGCTACTGCTACTGCGAGTGCGCGAACACGCGCTCAGCCATGTTCCTTCTTCTCATTCTACAAATCTACAAACGCACACTGACAAACATATCACAAGTGCTTGTCTATAGAACACCGATAAACTGCGCTGATTGAGTGATGCTTTGTTGCCACTTGTTTCTGTTTTTTTTTTTCTGATTTCTGTGGGTAAATTCCCCACCCAGATGCGCAAAATATTCCATTTTTAGACTTTAGAAATTATTCCGTAAATAAGAAACTGTTGAGTTGTTATATGTAAGTATGTATGAATTGATTTACTTCCTTATCAAGGCGAATGTACATGTTTATCTATTTCCTTAAACTTTTTTTGACCATTGGTGTTTCTTGTGGGTATAAAAAGTGTTAAGCAGATGGTAATCGAAAAATAGCAAAAAGTACATATTTTAAAGAAAATATCCTAAACTTTTGAAGTTTAAAATAGGTATGTGTAACACCTTCATCTTTAGTTATAGGTTTTTTTTTGGAAACCCTGAGTGTCGGAAGGCACATCTCAGCACTCGGATACGGCGGCAAAAGTCAGAAAAATGCAATAACTCTATGTTGAAATATTTAAGACCGAACGTGTTTACCCGGTTTTTTTCTTAATTTCAAAATTGGGAACCGAACTTTTTGAAATTACTCGAAGTACGGTTTTGGAAAAAAGCCGAATAATCGAACACCCTACTACATATAGGGAAAAATTTTGACGAAATAGTATTAGTAGTCCTATATATCATTCTAGAGACAAAATCGAGATCTTCACAGATGGTTCCAAAATGAACTATGGAATAACATCTGGAGAACCTATATTTCCGGGGGGTTCATTTTGGTCATTGTTGGTATCAAAACATTTGGGCGGTAATGACCAGCTTAATGTGTGTTCAGTAATGTCGAATATCCTTACGATCTCTTCGACCAGACATAGTCAGTCTTTACTGGATCACGAGTCACAGTGGTATTACTGCAAATAGGAAAGTGGACGAAGCTGATCTGAGATAGGCTTAAAGGAATCAATTTAACCCCACATTAGGGGTTCAAGCGACAAGACAATAAGGATATTTAAAAACAACATATAGGAAAAGATATGGAAAAACTGTCTGCAGGGCACAACATTGGGCCTATTTGACCGACTAGTGAACTTTGCCAGAGCTGCCTCAATAAAAGAATTTTAGCTTTCGGAGATTTTTAGGCGGAAGAAGGAAAATTAGTTATAGTTAAAACATCGAACCCAATCCAAATACATACGTAGCTTCCAATGTCTAAGAAAACTTATGAGTTAATTTGGACCAGCTAGCATAGGTCAAATAGTCATCTTGAAAAAGGTTGCACTATGTGATACCACGTTTTTGTGAATCGGAGTCTCGAAGTTACGGGGAAGGTTGAGACATGAGACATGAAACAAACTTCGGTCTTAGTTTCGCGAACGCTCTATAGCCTAGTAGAAAGTGCTGAGGTGATTCAACGTCTCCACCAAATTCGCGATCTGTGTAAGGAGCTCGTTTGACCATTCCCGGTTCAAATTGGGCTAGAAATGGGAGTTGCCTATGACCAAGTTTTCGCCCAGCGTTCGCTGAGCTGATATTAGGCCCATCTGTCCACATTTTACCCGTTTCACAGACGTAGTTACTTGGGCCATCTATAACTATTCAACATAGAATATGCTCTGCGTTTTTCTCCATCAGGATACAAAACCTGCAGTCCGTCTCTACTGAAAATGCCATTTTATTTAAATGGACCTTAACTTGTAGTGTCCTTTCAGGTATTATATAAGAGTTCTCAGACCCTCTTGGCTTAGTTCAAATAGTCTTTCGGAGTTCCTCCTGGAAGGAGTTTTTAATTTCTTTAATTGCTTGATTCCTTTTGGCTTCCGCCAGTAGGCTGGAATCTGAGATTCTTCCCGGCTACTAAGAAGCTCTGCAGTATGTCCTACAGATATGCCAGAGAAAGGCTCACAACCCTGCAAGTGCATTTGGGCAACACCTTCTACGCGACAGTCCGTCCTTTTGTTGCCTTCATACAGTTCAAATCCAGGGTTCCTAGACGGTTCAAAAGATTTATACAACTGTCCACAAACCTCGAAATCATTCTAAAGGAGTCTATGGCTTTAAGTGCTGTCTGACTATCCAATGTCATTATTATCCCGGCCACATTTGTCCTTCTACGAAGAAAATCTAGAACACAAGCTCGCTGCAATATGGTTGGCTATGAGCTAATGGACAAACCTTTATGGAATCTTGGTCGAAGTATGCCAGTCCCAGTATTCCCGACGTCCACCTTCTATCTATATACTTTGTATCACAGCAGTCTCTTGGAGAACTTGTTAAAACAACTTCGGTAAAATATATGGGTAGACTCATCAGTCTTCTTTGACTCTCTCAAGATAAGTGAAGCCTTATACGAATTGCAGCAGCACTAGCTTTATTTACTTAAAGAACTTGTCAGCTGCAAAGCTTGACATAAGTGCGAGTATTATCTACTTCCTTGATAAGCACTACAATTTACATACACATACAAAAGAAATCGCTTTAGGCCAACCTAAAGCCCCGAGATGAAACACAAACAGTCTGTCGATGTGCAAGCGGCGCGGCACAGCGTCGCGCGCGTGCGCACGACAAACTGTATCAACCGATCGAATTGCGGTGATTTTTCTCTTTGTTACTTGGACGCTTGCGTGAATTCATTTTTTGTTTCCTTCAGTTTGGCACACGCCTTTGTCTTGCGCCAATTTGGCGGGAACATGGCTGCTCTTAACACGCAGCGTCTGCGCACCAATCGTGAGATCGAACGCATGCGCTAATGATTAAAAAGCAAGCGTTGCGCAGATTTTATAATTATTTATTTAAGCACTGTGCAGGTGTAATGTACGCTTGAAGAGCAACTGACTGGTCATTCTACATAAATATATTTGCTTTTAATTATAAAAGTATTGATAATCATACGTAAGTTTAATTGTAAGGCACAGAGAGGGGTGAAAAACAGTGGATTTAAAGTATAAAATAAATTCAAAAAAAAAGTAATCACAAGAAGAATATCTGTTTTATTAACTGCGATTCCTTAATGCATTACAGCTCCTGCTAAAGTCGAAATGTTCGCTGCCAGCAAATCCACCGCTCTCCTTGCTTTCAGCGCTGTTGCTCTGCTCTGCGTCCTCCTACCGGCCGTTGATGCTATACCCTCCATCGGAAATTACGTCAAACGTTTTGGTGTGTATAAAAATAGATGCGGAGAAATTAATTTCTTTTTATTTAAGTAAGCAATGTTTTGTGTAATTATTCTCTCTCTCTCTCTCTCTCCCTCTTTTTCTCCTTTACAGACACCATTTCCGGCATTGATTTTATACAAATTTGCCTCAACAACTGCGCGCAGTGCAAGAAAATGTTCGGTGACTACTTTCAGGGCCAGACATGTGCTGAATCCTGCCTCAAATTCAAGGGTAAAGCCATACCCGACTGCGAGGATATCGGCTCCATTGCACCTTTCCTCAATGCGCTTGAATAGTGGGAGTAGAGACACTGTATTACACCGAATCGCGCACTCATATTCAATACGTAAATTATGCTGCTGTCGCCTTGGCTTGTTCACTGCGCTGTTGCGCGATTTTCGTGATACCCTCAAGCCATAACCGCCTGCTCACGCACCCGTTCTTTTTTTTTGTTTGGTTAATGCGTAATTTTTGGGTTTATGGTAGATGTATGCTGCTGTGAATTGTTATACTGTGTTGTTTTGTGTGCCGAACGCGCGCTGGTCGTTGGTGACCTTTGGTACCGCTTTGCGAATTTGTAACGCCTGTGTGGCGTACGCATCTTATTTGGGTCATTGTCGGTGTGGACGTCGGCATCAGCGCTGCGATAATCACTCGCTGGGTAATCGCATCGCCTTTCATATGATCAAAACACAACATCACCTTGCAAACAAATGGATTTATGGATTGTTTTAAGTGCATTTATCAATTGAGACATACGGTCTGAAAGCATTACTTGTTGTTCGCCTGACAACTTCTTTTTTTCTCAAACCTGCGGTACCTACTGTACGCAAAAGGAAGAACAAATAATTTAAGAAATACTCACACGTATAGCCATATTTTATCAGAAAGTTCCTAAACTAAAATATTTTAGTATTATATTTATGTATGTAGCTAATTGATACAGATATGTAACTAGATTTAAAAATTATATTTATGAGAAATAAATAACAAACTTTGCAACGGAATAAAACAACTTTGAATTTCGGATTGAATTTATATGTGCAGGGTGGTCCAAAGACAAGGTCGGAATTTTGATGCCTTCGCCGCCTAGGATTTTTCTTTATCGAAAAAATATACCCTTTTTTATTTTGAAATCAAAAAATATTTAGAGGTCGCTCAGAGCGAAGAAAGTTTTCTATGTATTTTATATGGAAATAACAACTTTTCGTAGAAATGCTATAGAATCCTTAAAAATCAATATTCTTCGATCGGAAACCCCTGGTTCCAAAAGAGACAATAATATCCAGCTTTTAATACTTACGATTTTTTATTGGTCCTCCATTGCATTTTCTGGGTTATTTGCGGACCTTTAAAATATAGCTTGCTAAATAAACAATTGGATGTAATGGGAGTTTCCTGAAAAGAAACAGACTTTTCCGATAGACAGTAGTGATTTTCAAGAATTATATACCATTTCTACGAAAAGTTGTTTTATCCCCATATATGCATCACTCTCCATAAAAAAAATGGGTACTGTGTTTCCATTGGAATTATAAAATCCATTATATAATATTTCGCAAAAATATTAAGATTTACGTGAGCTGGATCGATTTGAAAAACCCTTCAAATGACAAAACGGTTTAAGCTTAAAAAATTAGCATACAAATATTTTTAAAAAATTTAAAAAAACTTTAAACGGAATCGTAATAATGAAATTTTGTATGCTGTTTTTTAACGTTAACAAAGATTGGTATAAGAAAAACTTGAAAAACTGAACCTTAGCTCTTCCGATTTAGACTTGTGAGGTATCAATGAAAAGATATTTTCTAACCCTTTTTATTTCTTTGCTAATAAACTCATTCAAAGGATGAAAGAGAAAGGTAGGATGAACGAACGTCATTCAAAGTGGAATTAAGATGTTTTGGTATTTGGAAAAAAAAATGGGACACGAATGATTTTTTTTTTATAGATATAAAAATAGTGGGAAATACCTTTCTACTAGGATTTCGTAAGTCTAAATCAATATTTGAAAAAAAGTAAAAAAAAATAGCTTCAAAAATTTATTTATTTCGATTCCGTTGATTTTTAAATATTTTATGCAGATTTTTTAAGCTTAATCTGTTTTGTTATCTGAGGGGACTTTTTTAAAAAATTTCTTTAAGAAACTATTTTTATTCATAAAAAACTCCATTTTTGGAATTTTTTTTTCAAGTCGGTTCAACTCTAGTAAATCTTAATGTATTTCCGAAATATTTTGGTGTACGTCTTAGAATATAATAGGTTTTGTAATCCCGGCGGGAAAACTGCAACTTTTTTTGGTGATGCAGTCTAATGTACATATGTACATAGAAACTTTGAGCGACCTAAAAATAGATTTTGACTTCAAAATAAAAAAAAATGTCGGTATGGAATAATCTTAGGGGTAATGGGATGGTTAGATGCGGTTCTTAGTAGATGCCAATTAACGAGTCGGATAACTCTGTACTACCACGCCGGTGCACCGTTAAGTGATCCATAACCATTACTAATGGTTTGTGGAACAACGGTGAAGACTGTGAGCTCTCATTAGTTCTGCGACTTAGTACGAAAAAGCAATACACCAACAATGCTGTGGCGCTGTGGCGCTGTGTCGCTGTACGGCACTGCAGTCGTAAAACTTGGGCTCACAATTCTTCAACAGTCTGGTGAAGATAGCGGAGGTGAAACGCTTGGAAACCCTTTATTTTATTTGGCATAGAAATTGGTTTATTACGTCAATACCTTGACAAAATACTTTAGTTTTTCTCCGAATACAAACTTCCGGTTAGTGGAATGTGTCTCCTTCTGCGGATCACAGGATCACTGAAAGAGGGCAGTCACATGGGACAGCTACGCCTCTCTAAAGTAGTGTAGATTTCCCGCGAACGAAATATAAACTTTCTGACCCTCTATTCCTTATGCATTCTCCCATAGATACCCTAGCCTTCCATCAACCCAGGTGTTCTCTCGTCACTTCTGTTTAAGTTTTACATTTCGAACCTTTCCCTACAACAGCCCATGACATCGATGGTCGTGCTCAAAATTAAAGGGCTATCTCCCCGAAATATCTGGCTTTTTCATCGCGAATGAAAGGGATGACAAACTTATTAAAAATTGTTAGTAATTATGCCTGCAGACTCAATAGATTACAGGTGTTCTTGTAGAACGCGTAATATAGCAGCTTATTTTGATTGGTAAAGAAGGTTGCAGACAATACTTAGAAGAGGGCTATGGTCGTCTAAACTTCAATATTTTCAAAGATGGTTTTGAAAAGGGAAATGGTGGTAGCCAAATCGTCGATTTTAAGTCCAGTGTTGAGGTAATATATTTAAAAAAATCCAGGCTATTTCACCGTGTGCGAGTTCTGCGCCATTGAATTTTGCTAAAGTAAAAGTCATCAGGTCTTTTTTCTCAAAATTCGCAAAAAGAGAACGGTATATGGCCCCGGAATTTGCTTGCCCAAGAGCTCCTTCTGTTGTTTCGCCTATAATAATAATGATGATTTATTCCGTGGGGAATTCAAATTTACTAATATAGGATTTTGCGGCGTAGTGAACAGAGAATTTCTCGCTCGCAAAAAAGGTTATAAAGAAAGTGAAACAAATGGAAAGATGGAAATTGTATCTTTCCTAGCTCTAGAAGCTGTACAACTCCTTAGGACCCATGCTTTACCAGTGTCCTTTATCGAGTATCCTGCACACAGCAATACTTACCAGGTGTTTAATATTTCATTTAAATTTTTGATTTCTCCTTTTCTATAAATACTTATTTATGAGCATGGTACAATAATTACAGGATCTGCCTTATTTGACAAATATCATTGTTGCCCACACTAAAAAGTTAACTATAAGGGAAAAGGGATATTTCTGTACACCATATACCATACGGTTTTTTGAACAAACCTTCTTGCGGAGAACTTATTTAATTTGCAAAAGCCGAAATATAAACATTTGCTTAGTAAACATATCAAAAATATTTATTCGTCACTTCATTTCAAACGTTTTTTCTTTTATTTAGAAAAATCATAAAAATTAAATTGAGCGAAAACAAAAAGCAGAGCCAACTAAAAGTAAAAGAATCAACATTGAAATGCGTCAAAATGAAAATAAGGGAGCACGAATTTCGATGTGAAGCAAAACTCACTGGGAAGGCAATACTTGTAACAATTGTATCATTTTTGTGAGTACTATATGTACATATAATTTCTATTAGAATTATCTTTAAAATTTTATTTATTTCTTGTGCAAAATTATTATCAAACAAATCTTTCGTAGATAAAGTTCTTCTCTGCATGCACACGCAAATAAAAAGACATAATTTTTTTACAATATTTGTTTAAAAGAGTTTCACTATTTATATTTAATATGTACACAAGTTGTTGTATTACAACAGAAAATTTTCAAAAAAATATTAACTTATAAATGACATCGAAACAGCTGCAAATTATTCAAGTGAAAAGTATCAAACGGTTGAGTACACAATCTAACGTGTATATATATGCATGTACATATCTATGTATATAGTGTGTATGTATGAGGTTCGACTATGAACATGAGCTTAAAAATAAGTGTTTCCGATTGCGCGGAACTAATAATGAGCTTGCAATTCCAAGCAAATATGTTTTTACATTTTTTTTTATGATGAGAATGTTTGAAGCGCAATAAATGTGTTGTTGAAAAAAATAATCATTAAAAAAATACTATAAAGAATTGCTTGTCAGGATAATGCCACTTTGCGAAACAATACATTGACTTAGAGAGATATGAGTTTGCTAGATTTTGAAGTAAAAAAAAAAAAGTTATGTTCGACTTAACTGCTGCTTATTTTTTATCGAATTTTTAGTAATTTCTTTTAAATATCTTAAATATTCAAAACTCTAATACTTAAGTTAAACTTCTAGAATGAAAATAACAAGTTGGAAAAAATGTGTCTCATCCTCCTTCATACTTTTACTTTCTTAAATTTTGCGCTAAGTACTATCTTCCATGTTTTCATGTCCTGCGTGTCCTGTTACTTCTTGAAGTTTAACAATGTGTCAGGTATTTCGTTGATGAAGTTCTAAAACAGAAAATGAATACATCAGTATCTACGTAGGTGTAATTTTTGGAAATCTTTTTGTGCTTTCATGAAATTCTACTTACATAAACTGGATGTGATATATCGGGACTTGAGTAATCGGCCCACTTCGTCAGATCTATTGATGGAATGATACCACTCTTGCATGGCACTCGTGGGTTACTAAAAAATATACAATTTAACACATAGTTAGGTGCATAAGTAATAGTGAACAAGTTTCAAAAAATAAAAGAATTGTTTTTGACCTTAAAAATTCCACTAAAAATGTGAAAACATATCGAGCCTTAACCGCCAAAATAACGTAAGCGATTTTTTTTTCAATTTTCTTTTTGATGCAAAAATATTCCTAGAGCATCTAGATGCCTTTGTGCATCACAAATAAAAATTTGAAAAAAAAAATATTTGCTTACGTTATTTTGGCGATTAAGGCTCGATATTTATAAATCGAGTCCTAAATACTGGATACAAAACCACTTCGTACTTACGATTTCATTGCATACTCAATACTTGCTATATACTCAATGTAAAAATAAATACTTTCTGAATTTTCGAAACTATTTCGGTATTTTTGGGGCAACTGCGGCCTTTTTGTAACTCTTATAGGATTTTCGGTATTCTAGGGAATATGTCAGTAGTTTCAAAACTACTTCGAGATTTTTAGACTCTGTGAGATTCGGGACTATTTCAAGATGTTCGAGGCTACTTCGTGGTTTTTAGAATTTTGGGGCTCTTGAGACTATTTTGAGATTTTCGAGACCGGTTCGAGATTTTTAAGATACTATGGACTATCTCGATTTTTCGAGACAAAATATATCGATAAATATTCCAATAAATAAATCGGTATTTATATCCACAACAATATCAATTATTATAACGGTAACAATATCGATAGAATTTCTGATAAATATAAGGATTGCAAAATCATGATCGATAAATATAACGAAAATTCAGAAAATCATGAAATAGTCCCGTTGGCTTGAATTCAGATGTGGGGGATCAGGCGTGGTGAGCTTGAGTGAGAACTGGTGAGTTTGTGTGTGGTAAGTCGGGGTGAATATTCGATTCTATTATCACTATATCTATTGATATCCTTACCCATAGATTTATCGAAATACTTGACAGTTCTAATATTATCGATATATTTGACAAAATCGTTATCGAATTTTTTCACGATTTGTTCTTTAAAGCTTTCCATTCTCATCAGTCATCGGTAATCTTAAAGGTTTTTAATCAAAGAGTTTTTCCATTAAAACTTACATTTCATGATCTGGCAACACCATCGGATAAATTTGTATAGTATCTATAAGATCGGTGTTGTCACATATCAAGCGTGATAGCTTCGCCTTCCTCAGCTCTTGCAGCTGCTCAGGTGTGAACGATGAAGGCTGATTAGGCAACTCATACCAGAAGCGGTCACCGCGCCGCACATAACTCATTTGTGTGGCAATAACGCAAGCGAAGGTTGGTCCTAACATTGAGCCCGGTAGGGGCTTCTCTGAAACGCCACCTGACCAAAGATCAATATCAGCTGGATGCCTGCAAAACAAAGTAATTTATAAAACAGTACATATGTAATTGCAGGAATATAAACAAATACTTACTCGAAGATACTCTCATAGCGCAGAATCGTATCGTTTGGCATTGAACCGAACATTTCCTCCCATGACGTCGAAGTGGGCAGACCGCAAAACTTTCTAAACTCCATATAGCCAGGCAGGCCGAACTCACGACCACGCTGCATATTGAATGCTACCAAATCCAAGCCATAGCGCGCTCCCTCCTTCTTGAACAAATGGTTGGTCACCTCCTGCGTAATGGAATCATCCATTGCCTGCGCCACTTGATTCATCAAGCCCATAAAGTATTCATCCAAAACACCAGCGCGATACAAATCATACGGACGACGAATTAAATCCGACAAACGTTTCGAGGCGATAAATTTGTGCGCCTTTGACCAACGCTCCACGGCGGTGGGTAGCAACGAGTGTCCGAAACGGAACGCAGCACCAGCGAAAGCATCAATAATACCAGGATTCACTTTATGATCATAGCCATCCCAGTAGCCATCTTTGTGCAGCACCAAACCGAATTTATCCATCACTTCTTTGCCCAACAATATGGGCAAGAACTCATTGAATGTCACATGTTGCACAATAGCGATGTTGATGCGACGCGCCTCTTGGAATAGGGTTTCATCATCCCAATGCTTGTTGATCTGTCCCAGTGCAGATGCTACGCGATTGTGTTCGCGCGCCATAAGCGTATGCATGCACGTCAGCACCAATTGTTCGTTCACTCGTATCTCGCCAGCTTCGAAACAGAACATGCTCTTATTCGGACGCGTGCAACCCTCATCGGGTATATCGAGTTTCAATGGCAACAAGTCTTTGAGTCCATACTCTTGAAAGACGGGATTCATGCGCAACAGGCCACCATAGCCGGTGCGAAGTTTTCGGGAAAATTTCTCACTGATACCGTACACAGTGTTGGCGTCAATAACACCGGTGAGTGTGTTGAATTGTTGGCGGGAGCCTGCAATGAGAGTAAGGTTTTGGGGTGAAATTAAATTTTGAAAGAGCTGCAGAGGCTGTCTATTTGTATCTATCCCGATTTTTACTATTTCCTCTTTTATTTCTTGGAGAGTAGCTCTTGCTAATTGCTTTTCACCAGGATGACAAACCACTCAACCAACCCATCAAGACAGAGGATACATTACACTGTGAGTAGCTTGGTCTAACAATTAAATATTAAAACAGTACTCACCCAATCGGCAACCTGGTCGTGGGGAAGGAAAACCCCGCACAAAATCTATACACTTCACGTTGAAAAGTCGATAGAAATAATCATCGTCTGGCACACGAATTTCATTACAGTACGGATGCTTAAGATGCAGAGGGCGTTTGCAGCACTCTTCCGGATCATTGCGATTAATGGGATCTGCAAAACAGGAAACGCATAATTTTTAGCAATGAACCGAGACAAACTATCATTTAAACAAAAGCTCACCCAACGGCGTGCCGGTAAGCGTAAAATCGTGATCCATAAATTGACCCCAAGCAATAACCATAACAGTGCCAGCATGATCGTGATAACCATCATCGGGATGCATTGTACGCGAGACAACACGCGAAATGGGCAGATCGTGGCCTGTGACTGAGATGCGTGGCGCATTTATGCCATCCGAATAGAGTGGGCCGACAAGGCGTTGGAATGGTGACATTACAGCGCCCCATGTGGGATGGTCGATGTTGTTGCAAAGGCCATCGAAGCGCCGATACTTGCCAGGACGGCACTCCACGCCGGCAAAGAAGGGCGGACACACGTCGCGTATAAGTGTTTTCGATGTGTCGATAGTGGGTAGCCCCTTTTCGATTTCCTCGTATGACAGACCGTAACTGTAAGAAAAACAAACAAGATGGAATATGTGAGCATGGGGAATTAATTAAATACAAGGCGATAAAACAAAAATGTATGAATGATACATTTGTACTATTGGCTATTGAATATCTGTGTATGCTCGCCGATGTTTGCAAGTAAATGCAATCGAAATCTAACTGACACCATAAACAACTGGGGCATTAGAACGCATGTGATGCCAATAGCAATTAATGACAAGCTAATGAGGTAAATGCGGTGGCGTAAACCCACATGTAACTATGTATGTCAATTGGTGATATGCGCTAGGGTGATCCAAAAAATAATAATAAGATTAACATTATTTCTATATATATATATTGTTTATATATATTACTTTTATTTACTTTAATAATTTTTTTTATTAGAAAGCATGCATAAAAATAGTAATTTCTTTAATTTAAGATCTCTTTAAATTTTTTGTATGCTAGAAAATAAAGTAATAACTTAAATATTTCTACAAAATTAAAACGAAACGTTAAAAACTTCAAAATTTTTAGTTTTTATAATTTTTCTGCCCCTCTATTTTAATAGTTTTGTTCTTGCTCCTTGGAAATATTTATGCCATGATAAAAGACAAATGCATTCAAACTTTTGTTTGGTAAAAAAATTTTATTTTGGCTGAAGTATCCATTTATATTTCAACTCACCCTTAAAAACGCAAAACTTTTTAGAGATTTTTTTTTCGTCTCACAGAATATTTTTCAATTGATCCAGATATGTTGTCTATTTTGGTATAAAATAAGCAATAACTTGATATTAGGGTGTACCTGATAGTAGCAAAATATCTATCGTGATATAATGAAAAATTTAGAGAAATACGATTTTGTGCCTAAAATGGACTTGAGCGACCTCTGAAATTTTTTTCAACAAGTTATGAACTTATATTTTTTGGCAAAAGGAACACTAATTTTCTGAGCACTAGATAATATAAAAAAAAATGTTGGACCACCCTTATACGCACGCACTATTCGACTAACGGTTGTCTACTGTAATTGCATTCACAGCGTAAAGTGGCAACAATTAGTCAGAACGGACAGAGTAAATACGTATTTATAACGCAATACCAATAATTCTATTAAAACGCCGCCTCTCTAAGCTGATAGTAAGTTTTCTTTGCGTCTTTATTTTTTTCTTCATTGCTTCTATAAAATATTCAATTGCAATTTTTGTAACTTTTTTGGCAAATGATAATGGCAATGTTGAACCAAATCATTCTTCAGTTCGCACACTCTCAGCTTTTGGTTTGCGAATATTGCAAAATTATCAAATTAACCCAATTCGAAGTGTCGCCGACAACTGACCGTTAAGTCTAAAATATGCAATTAATAGCTATTTATATGGCTACAACAACAAAAATGAACTACAATGCAGCAAATAATTAACTACAAG